TCGAGGGGCCAGGAGTTTCTTGGGGGCGGGACTTGTTTATATAAGTTAATAAATGTCTAGCGATCTAATAGTGAGTGCTTTGATAGTATTTTTATTAAAATTTAACTAGGTTTTAAGTGGAAAAACAATTCAAAAAGATTAGAAAAATGGCATATCTTGACGTTTAGAAATAGTAAAAAAATGTTAGAAACACTTCCGCATTCGTAGTAGAAAAACGGACCTTAGAAAAAGGAGTTTTGGTCCCCCCCCCTCCCCTGATAATACAAAGGACCGACACGAGCAAATTTTGCATGGAATTTAGGTGATATTGGTATAGACGTTAACGAACTGTCCTTTAAAAGGAACTCACTTTGCAGCCCTCCGCATTGGCGGTCGCTTGATGGGTGGTTCGCGCATCTTAGAAAGCTGTAATTAATTTTGATAAATAAAAATCAATACTTTTGAAACAGCAATGAATAACAGTGTGAAAAAAGATTGTGCGGGAAAATATTTGGAAATGTCAAAGGTTATTGGCAACATGTGGGTTTGCGGAAGTGAGCCCTGTCATGATAAAGGGCTAACGCATTAAGTGAAATTTCGACCGAGCATTTGCAAAGAATCAAATTTCAACCGGAAAAGCTAACTGTTCAGGCCTAGGCATTATGTGGCAAGGAAGCGTGACAGATTGCGCTATCAATATGCGTGCGGGAACGGACCGCCGATTCATCGATGCCCATCCGATTCGCTCGATTGCGGGGCGGAGGGGGGCGCTTCGGGAGCGTTTTAGCGGCACGCGTTGTACGTTACGATCCCGTGCCGCTCGATTCTAGCAATCGCTCATTGCAGTGAGTTCAATGTGCGGGGGTTTAGACGTGGTTAGCTACCAGCATAAGCGGAATATGACAACGTGTTTCTTGTTTGGCTAGATAATAAGGACAGTCGAAGCGCATGCAAAGGTCGTTTACACTAAAAACGGTTGGTTTTGATGTGCCTTTGAAGCTTTGCGAGATTGATATCGATGCTTATTAGATAGAGGCTCAATTTTTGAACAAATCCCATCCCTCAAAATAGATACTGAACAACCACGGTCTTAGAAAAACTTGATCTGAAATGGTTGTTTTTCCATTCTTGGCCTCTGCTTTACAAAATGTAAAATTCGAGAGTGTATTTCTCGAAGGCTGTTGCCGTTCAGCCGTTTTTCAGAGATGGGATCTCTCCAGTATTTGATGCTCTATCGAACAAGCTATGTCACAATGTGAAACTCTAGCACCTAAAAACGACTCCCGGCAAGTAAAAAACACAGCTGATTTATTGCCAAAATCGAAGAGCAAAGTAAAATCGAGAAAAGCGGTGCCGGGAAAGGTAAGCGACAATAAAGTGTCAATTCTCGAGTGGCGAGCGATTGTTGTCAGCTCTTGGTTGGCGAGCATGTGACCTTGTTGAGAGGGAACATTGGCAATGCTGGCAGACAACGCATGAATACAAATCAATGGTCCAGATGAGGGGGTGATCTGCTCCATAGCCGGAGGACAATTAGTCCGCGACGGAGCAGAGATTGAACACTGGCACTAATGACACATAAAAGCGTCAAGCGACTAATAAGTATCAGCTGGGCTAAGAATTCAGAGCCTAAAAAAGGGGGAAGAGCATGATCATGATCCAGTCAGACGGAGACAAGGAAAAGGGTGGAGCCTTCGAAGCGAATATAACAAGGGGGGGGTTTTTCCCCCGGGGCCGGGGGGGGGCCCCAACCCGATTGTGCGGGATGAGCCCCGCCGCGGCCGACAAAAATAAACGAGCCCACCCCCCCCCCCCAAAGTTATGGACGTGCTAAGACCTAGAAACGCCCAAAACGAGTGACTTTCGGTGAAGTTGAATCGCTCATAACCTCGGAAAATCACGATTCCGTTCAGCGCAAAATTCTGACAATCTAGACTTGGTCCCGGCCCGAAACCACGACGTTACTAAAAAATGTCTCCTTCGATCTATCGATCTGCAGCCCTCTGACGAATAATTGAAATATCCGTAAGTATAAAAGTACGTTAAAGAACGTCTTAAAATCCGGGAATGGTGCCGTGCATGGGGACAAACGGAAGTGGTGGGCGAGCGGACGATGAGGCGATCGATGCGTGGATGCAGGAGGCCCTTTTTGCCCCGTGGGGTCAGCCGGGCAGCTGTCCCGGCTTTGGGTGGGACACCCGGCTGCCATGAGACACACCTCATAGGATACATGCGAGACTGCACCATAATTGGAAGGGCCCTCGGGGGTATCCACAGTCAGTCGGATTAGTTTCGCCCCAGGTGGGTGGCCCCGGTGGTCTGCGCGGAACGGACACCGCCGCGACGAGCTAATTAGCAGCACTCCTGAATGTGCATGAAAAAGCTCGTGGTTCGGCGCATTGTAAGAAACCAAGTGCTTTTAAAAAATGGAAACAAGGATTCCGAAACCTGCCCTGCGAAACGGCCCTGCGAAAAAAGAACATTACAGTCCGAGTGACGGGGGATCTCGCTCCGGCTGATGTTTGTTTGGAGTGTTATAGGCTATACTGTTTACTTGCCACAAAAAGGTAGTTTGATGGTTAATAAGTAAAAAGCTAACCTAAATACAAAGCGGTACCCGTTCTGAAGGCTACATTTAGTTTTCTTTTTCTTCGTACCTTCGTCTGCTATGGTTACGGTGGCTTGGGGTGTATGAATTTCAACTTTTACGACCTTGATTTATTATAAACTCTATACGAAGGGTGAGACTTTGCATACAAAATCGGGATAGACACGGGCCGAGTCGAGCTTGTCGATGCCGGCCATCCATTTGCCACCACCACAACCGAAATCGCAAGTGTCCGGCATAGCACGTAGCTAAAATTTGGGGGTTGAAAAATGAAGACTTTTCCCTAGGAAGAACTTCCAAAACTGACCAAAACAGTTGATGAGGCCATATTAGCGTTATGGTCGCAGAAGCCGGTGTAGTCGACCTGGGTACCGTCCATCCAATATGCCAATGAGGCGCCTGATAAACGAATGGTCTAATCCGAAGTTAGAATCCTGTTATTTTCTGGAATATTGTAGATTCGAAATTCCCAATTTATCTCTAGCTCATTCGAAAAGCCTAATTTCTTTTTCCTAATTACTTTCAGCGAAATATCTTCTCTCGAGTTTTTACGGGAGTCTAAATTATGCCATTTTGAGGATTTTCACTCTAAAATACCCTTTAACGTCTTGAAAACGCTAAGAAGAAAATTTGCAAAGCAGATCCGGTATCAGTGCAAAATTATCAAGTGTAAATAGGCTCGGTCCTGCTCAAAACCGCCACTCAAAAACGTCTCCTTGTGAGAAGGACCCTACCAGAATAGACTCCTCCCGTCAACGTCGTCCCAGAAACCACTGGGAATTCCCCAGAACAATCCTCACTATAGACCAATGCTAAAGACGATTGATAGGTGGTAAGCGTGATGGAACAACCTCGGATAAACTCGTTCTCAGCTGCACTGTGAATTGAGGTTAGAGATCCCTTATGGCGAATGCAGAATGCCTGCGCGTCGGAAAAAGTAAGGTCTTTACCGTGCTAAAAAGGATTTTGTTTTGCAACGATCGGCACAAGTCAGATGTAAGTATGGTAAGACCTACATAATAACACATGGACGTATCATTGTTATAGACCCAGCCGTCAAGACATTGATCTAAATAACAATTGTCCTGGCAGAGATTTATGAAAATTACTCGGTGCTGTCAGTTCACACATATACGGGATCTGTTCGCCGCAATTGACTCCATACCATAATTTATCATTATTGTCCAGAGCCACACAATTTAGCCCAGCCGCTGGTTCGGCGCTTCCAACTAGAATCAATGTTTTGACGATAATCATAATGCTATGGTATGCTGGAAAATACGTACCCCAATTGCGATATGTATTTGCTGAGCCATCAGACCAGTACCAATTCGTGTCATTGCGCTCCGGGAATCTTCGCAGACCGATCATCGCACGATTTTGAGCGAAATCTACGTCCGCAAGTGACCGCATTTAGAGGATGCGCTACCTTTCATAACGTATGCAGCGATCTGGTTATTTTTGAAGATACTGTCGATGGAGACGAGATGACCTCCGTATGTCTGACACGAACGCTCATCGATATCGTAGCCGTGGCCTGAATATTTTGCCTTATTGATTCGGAACGATATTAGCCGGTTCTTATTATGGGGCAAATTTTTTTAGGGACCGGTTTCTCAAACATAAGTTGGAAAGTTTGCTAAACGGTTTGCTCCTATCCATAAGCGTAAGAAACTTTGCATTATCATTATTGAAGAAAAAGCCCTCGGTTTTCGGACTAAAATGGCCAATTTAAGACCAAAAAAACCGGTCTTTTAAAAAATGCTTTTTTAGTTTTTTTATAATTTTTCCGGTTGCTAATATAGATAAAATTTATTGAAAAGACTACAAAAAATTTCCGATTAAGTCGCCGGATATTTCTAGACTTTTACAAAAAAGTCCGTCCCCCGGTGCTGCAAAGAACTGCTAAAAAGCCTTGCGACAAAAACCAAAAAACCTTCCCAATTCAAGACAAAAAAAAAAAAAAAAACAAAAAATATTTGATAACGCGTAGTCGGACCCGACTTACCAACAATTTCTGGAGATCCATAGCACATCGCGAATTCGGGAGCATTGTCAAAGCCATCGGGACAACCACCCAATACCAACAGTGGCAACGTGGCGAAGAGGAAGAACTTCATTTCCCAGGTGGACCTCTCGTTTCCAGGCTTGATCATTGGCCACAAAGCAACCCTTTATATGGTGCCCCCGAAAAAACCGGGAGCGGCTACGATAAGCGCCTAACGGTCATTTAAACGTGATAAGTGCCACCGAGTCGTGCACCTTTACGACTTTTTATCGCCCGAAATTAATGTAACGGCCTGGAGGCAGGGGAAGAGTCGCTTCCACGGCTAAAAAAAGAGCTGGGGGTCGTCTGACGTATCGTTATTTGTCGCCAAGTGGCTGTTTTATTAACAAAATTTATTCGATTTCAGATATCTCCGCATCGGTCCGGGTCATAGCCGTAATTTGTGCACGTCCAATAGGGTGTCCTCACTCCCTGAAACGGGTGTTTTTCTGATTATTTTTTAATGCGTGTACCTTGCAGAACGGAGCATTAATGGTAGCTCCTTTGGCGAACGCCGTCCGGCATTCGCAACTTTTCGTGGCGTACTTTGTGGCCTCGGCCGAGCAGTAGGGCCCCGAATCGTGTATCGTATTTCCTGACTAATTCAGTTTGGCCCATAAAATTGAGGATGAACGATACCTCATCGTATAAACGAAATCTCATGAGTTCGCGGTCAGCCACCGGCGAATTAGAATTGCTTTTGCAGCCGAGAAAGCCCGTATTTGGTGCGCAACTGGAAATAATTTGCATATGCGTATGGCTAGGTTAGGCTTCGGATTAGGCTTAGGCTTATGTGTAGGCTTAAGCGTAGTTACATTGCAGCGAGATAAAGCTGGTGCAGCCGAAGCCTAAGGCTATGCTATTAAGGGGAAGCCCGTTCCAAATAAAAATTTCAAAAATTTACACGTCTTCAATTCCATCCGGCACCCTTCCAAAGGGAGGCCCCGTCACAATCGGGCTACAGATGCAATCTGAAACGGCGAGTGAGGTGATAAGGATTTCGTACCCGGCAAGGGATGTTGTGTGGTCATTGCTGTACTCGCTGTACTGTTCAACAAAAGTCTTTCGGTGATGAAAAGTTCGGTCGTCTTCATAAAGTTTTCTGTTGTGGAGGGCATAAATTCTTGAGGTTCGATCGTAACCATAGTCGTGACCATAGGTGTAGGTTGTACTATTTTTTCTGTTAATCTTGTAGTTTTGGGACGGGGGATACGAATCTAAATCGGCTGTATTAAAAAACATCCGAAGAAATACCGTAGTACTTTCCTGGATTATTTTATGCATGTTCGTGACTTTAGAGATCGCTAAATAGGTGAAAGATTTTTTTGAAAAGTTGAAAGTCTGGCACTGGACTGTTAGCGGGGGGGGGCTAATTTTTCTCGGTAAATTTGTACGGCCTTCTAACAAAATTATAGCATTTGATAGCAGTTTGAATAGATAGAAATGGCATAGAAATACACTATTTATTATTAACAGGTAGATTTAGTGGAAAAATGGGTCCCCCTGCTAAACCCACGCCCCCCTGCTAACAATCCAGTACCGAAATTTTTACCTACGGCCTCACGCGGAATGGTTTTTAAACAGGCAGCGGCGAATAACGGAAAGAATAGGATTCGAAGTTCAAGGTACATCTCCAGGAAGTAACGGTCACAACCGCATAGCTAATGCCTGGCGGTCGCTTCCAGACACCCCTTCAATTAGCGCCCTCCCGCTGGCCTAACAGTTTTCAGTTTCTCGCACGATTTTCAAGGTGGCCGAGGGATTTCCCGATTTCCCCCCCGCAGTCTGTCGTGTTGTGCTTTGGACGGAACCGTACGTTTATTCATTCCCTAAGTGGGAGAAAGAGGAGAAGTCAACGGATGGGCAAATGAAAGTGCTACGGGTGGATGGGCATGGAATAGAATGTCAAGAAGATTCCATTCATAAGGGTCAGAAAAAGGATTGATGATGAGGTTTAGATAGTTAAAACAATTTAGTTACAAACTTCAGTGATACATGGATGATATGTGCATCTGTTGTTCAAAAAAATTACCGGTGAACGGCTTGATAGGCGAGATAGTCCTAAACTATTGTATTAAAGAAATTGTAGAGTACGCCAAAAGCTTACAAGGAAATGAATGATTACCTGATAACTCATGGTCAGCTTGCTCGATTGGAATCGGACAACTTTTAGGGCCCGTCGGATATCCTCGCTGATCCGGCCCCGATAGCCGCCTTTTTTGATGAGATTGTCGACGGTTTCAACATGGCCCCAGCCTATAGAATTAAATAGATTTTAAAATAACTATAATAGATATGAATGCTAGATTTCGTACCGCATTCTGGCGCGACTTCAGGCAGAAACACAGCCGAGTAGTCGTGTCCATCGATGTGGTAGTGGATTCTGATCCCATGGACACCTACCTGTAAATGTTGAATTTGACTACTTTACAAAGTTAAATATATTTAATAATAGATAATATCCAAGACAAAGTTTTAATAATTATTGGTTAGAAACTAGAGTCTTATGCGTTGACATACCTCCCAATCCAAATAATCTCTAGCATCCTCAAACTCGACCAACAACGACACCTAAATCACGATTTTTTATCCGCTCTATCCCTTGTTACCCCACAATGCAGCTGCTCCAATTCCGAGAAGTGTATCGGATCGAAGCGAGAATCATTAAACGCGCTGGTCAGCGCATATTCCCGGATACCTTTCGGCAGGCTCAAGTTAGAAAAGGTGCCTGAAATGATTTTTCTTATTTTTTTTTGCGAGAATTTTCTCACCTATGCATCCCCGCAACCGTTTGTCACTGCCCTTCTTCCAGGTGACAAAAAGCGGACTAAAAAAAAGTAAAGAAACGCGTCGGAACTTACTATTTCGCAGCCGGCGAAATTGACACGGGGCACTGGGCCGTTTGATTTGTCAATTTCCCGATGAGAACGTCGAAACAAAAGGCAACCATGTCCCTCGTCGCGCATATTTGACCCTAAAAATGAAGGTAAAACAATTTTCGGAAGCAGCTCTTGTTCGTGGTTTTTCTCTAAAATCCCGTAAAGATGAACAAACCCCGGACTGTGGCTCTGGCGGGTTCGGAGCCATACTATTCCTAGAAGAGAATCGAAAGAATTCAGCCCACGGAATCCTGGAATTTTACGAAGGACAGTCCGGGGGATCGATGTTAGACCCCGGGGCACGAGGTGGTGGGGTAATTTATGCCCAGGCATACACCGGGAACAGCCGCAAAGAGGAGCGTCGCGTACTCACCGCCTCACTTTGCGCAAAAACTCAGTGTTTTTAGAGAAAGCTGTTGCTTCTAAGTCGCCGCATAAAATTGCAAGTATCCAGGGTAAAGAGAGCAAGACGGAGAGCCAGAGCGAGCGCGAGTGCGAGAGCGAGTGCGAGAGAGAGAGAGGCATACAAATTTAGGAAAAAGCGCAACTTCGGTCTGGTAGGTTGTGAAAGAGCCAAAAAATCTAAAAATTCTCGATTCGAAAATTCCGGAAAGATCTATTTTTGAAAAAAAGCATCAAAAATATAGTTTGTGAATTTTAAGTGAATAAAGCTGAAAAAAATGTTTTCCCTGACGTCTGGTCTGGCCTAGTCACTACGATAATTCAGTCCATGGGGAGTCATGGGTACAGAATGGCTCAGACGTTGCATCATACTTTTAAGAACAAGATACACGTAAAATTAAATTAAATGTAAATTTAACTTCATTTCCATACCAACGTGAACTGGCTAGGAACTGAAACTACATGGCAAATGCTACCAGTTTTTACAGTTCCAAAAAGTTATCTATAACGCAAAACAGAAATCCAGGTAAATTTCGCAATTATATGAAACAAATAGAGTTTGTAACTCTCCGATGACCTCCGATCAGGATACGCCAAGAACAAAGCCTCTTCCAGAAATGCCAAATAAAAATACGGCTTCGAATCCCCGAACCAAACAACTGCCCACCAGGGATTTGGGTGACACAATGTTCGCCCAAAATAAAGATAAGCGCAATGGAATAGGAAACCAACCCCCGATCAGCACCGTACTCCCTTCACTACACCCTCAAAATTCCCAAAGGTATTCCATTTTTTGGGTGCATGCCTAATGCGCTATTTTCACGAAGAATGATTGCTAGTGCTCCTCATTCATTTCCAATCCTTTGTTCTACAGCGTTCCGTCTGGATGGGTCAGCTCTATTCACGGGTGAATGCTACATTTTCCCACTATGGTGATGCTTCATATGTTAATAAATCTTATTGGACGCCCTCGATGGAGTCGTCGGTATAAAACGAGCCTCATGTTTGATGTATGTAATTGATGTTAGATTTGCGGTGTGCCGTGCACGATATTCTTGGCGATAATTTGCATAATTTTTACCAAGAATCGAGGCTTACGGCAAAAATATCAGGTAAGTCGCTTTTTAATTTGGGATTGTGGGAAGAACACCGTTGATCGCTAGCTAATGAGGTTGTACATGTAGGTGCACAAGTATCGTCCGACAAATGCTCCCGTGTTGGAATAGCTTTACTATCAGACAGTTCACTTCATAACGTTGGAATTTCATAATGTTGATTTGAAATTAAGTGCAATTGGGAAGCTGCCATTTTTCCATGAAACAACTTCCGAAATACTACACAAAAAACCCCCCATAAATCCCGGAGCTATTTAATTTCGAGGGTCTGAAAATCGCAACATGCCACATGGCCCGTTTAGCATACGATTCCGAAACTTTTCCAGAACACGATCTCCTTCATGACGTACGGGTGCTTTATTCTGGGATCCCCAATCGCGTGGTACAATTTTATGATCTACACGGGAATGAACGTCACCGGCGGCAATTTTCGTTTCACCGCCTTTTCGTGCACTTTCTGGAAAATCCTCGGGCTCACCACCTGGTATTGCTCATTTTTGGTCCCAGCGGTGAGTGCCATCTTGGGTTTTTTTACGGAGAAGCCGACAAACAGATGAATTTGCAGAGCTAGACTCTAGGCAGATCCCTAGATTTTGATCGCCGCAAATTACCTTGCAGAGCAAAGTATAACAAGGACAAGATATGCGCACCAAAAACGCGATTAAATGTATACTAAAGGCCCAATTTCCAGGTTGTTGCCCTAAATCGATGGATAACCATCGTCCGCACCACACAAACCACTTGGCAATTTTCCTGCAAAATCTTAGCGCTTATCTATATGCCATTGGTGATCCGAGATCAAAAAGAGAGATAACGCTTTATTTAGTTCCTCGTCGATCTGGCAAACTTCTTCATCGGCACCCCGATCTATAATAATACCTGCAATGTGTTGCTCTATTCGACCGTATCCCCAGTGCCACAGGTGGGTCAAAATGTTTGAAATCGACGCTTATTCTGCTATTAGCTTTAT